CCCACATGAGCAGATGAAGTCTCTTTAAAAGACTGATTTTCGGTGTGAAGTTTTAGGATTAGAACCGCTTTAGATGCCAGAAAAGGTAATAAACGGGCAGCAGAAAGTACAGATTAAGAACAAGAGGAGGGAGGTGGAAGGAGAGGAGTCGGGGAGGCGAAGGGCCAGAAGCAGAGGCCGGACAGAGACGGAAGCGAGGCCGCCGCCCAGCTGGGAGGCCCCTGGGCCGCATTCGGGGGCAAACAGTGCCACCCCCGCTCTCAGACGCAGTGTGTGCGCCTCACTGGGGGGCCACGAGGTCTCAACTGTCTCACAGAACACGAGGCTGCCATCTGCCTGTTCGCGCTCGTTCTCGCAGTGTACAGTGGGGTCCGGGGACCCACCGCGTGCGACACCACACGGCCTCCACGCGGAAGCCCCCAGGGGCATTAATTGTCTTCTACTAAGTCAGGCATTAAAGAGATTTGCAAAACAACATCATTTTCACCAAATTTTGTTTTGCTTTGGAAAATATTGCCATTTTTCATAAAAATGTTACCGTGTAATTGATTTATTTTTAAATGAATTCATAAATAAGTGTTTTTAAAGTTTCTCAGCTTTTATTTCTAATATAGTAAATACTGACAGATAAAACTTACATGAACCTAATTTCTTTGGGGGCCTTCAATCATTCTTAAGAGTATGAAAGGATTCTGGGCCTTTCTTTTTTAAAACGAAGTTTGAGAACTGCTGCATTAACGGAAAGGCTGCGAGTTTCCGGGTCATGGTGGGAAATAACCGAGTGTGGAAAAGCGGAGAAAAACGGATTTCTTAAGAAATGTTGAAAAGAATCCAGGGGAAGGAAAGGAACGATTGTTGAAACACAGGCACCAAAGGGCCAAATGTGGACTTGTCACTTTGTAAAACAGGGAGTTATTTTATCTTAATACCCAACAATACCCAACAAATGGTTTCCTCACTTAAATAAGGTAGATAGTAAGAAAAACGATAACAAAAGAATATTTTTACTACCAAACTAAACAAAACGCCCTTAAAAACGATAGACCCACCAGGTCCTGCTTTTCCTAAACATCGCTTCCTTTCACTGGAGCGTTTCTTGTGGCTGCTTCTCTCCCTCCCTCCCTCGTCCTCTTTCTTTTCTATACTCTGATCTGTTTGGTGTTCGTTTGTTTTCCTTCTGATCCTCCCCCCATCCTTCTCCTGCGTCCCCCAGCTTCGATTTTATTCCTGGTCCTCTTGCTCCCGTCCTCCCCCTTCTAAGAACACCCGAAGGCAGAACTCGTGTACATCGAACAGCAGAGAATGAACAGAAAAGCGACACCGTACGCAGCGTGTCTACACACCGAAAACCACACTGTGCGGCTCAGGACGACACGCGGCAAGTTTCCCGAGAACGACGGACTTGAGCCAATGACTGAAGGACTTAGCGCAACAGCAGGTCAGAGGACGGGCTTCGCCGCCCGCCCGGAACAAAGCAGCCCCGTCCTCGCTCGCACTGTGCCGTCCCCCGGTCCCCCGCACTGTACTGTCTGCGCAGTTCTTATCGATTTCTGAACTGACCTTTCTTTTCTCTATTTCTCTGACCGCCCTCTCCGGAACACGCTCCCTGAGGACGGCAAGGCCTGCGTGTTGTTCCCTTGGGCACCCTGAGCGAGGGTCTCGACGCACCAACTCGACCCTGGTGACTTAAATGCCACCCTCACCGTCAGGGATATGAGACACGGCTCCCGCGATAATTACCTGCCAACTGAGATTGCTGTGCCGCGGGGCGCCTTCATCGAGGCCGAGCGTGTTGAGCTCTTCGAAGCTGAAGTTGAGCGTGTAGGGGGCCTGGATGGCGAGCTCGCCGTGAGGCAGCTCACTGTGCGCGGACCGCCGGGCCGCCTCCCCGTGAGGGGCCGGGCCGCCGCTGCCGCTCTCGCCGAGCACGCGGGGGTCCTCCGGCCCCGCCTGGCTCTCTGCGTTTCTCATCTCCAGCACCTTCGCGGAGGAAAACATCTGATTCACAGCCACGTCAAGTCACATTTTAGAAGCTTGAGGAATTATTTTTAAAGTGAGACATTATAAAGTTATTCTAATTGAAATGAGAAAACATACGTCCAGTAAGTGAATTTCTAATGAACTTATACTGTATTGGTTTATCTTTCATTTTCATTAACACTAAGAAAAAAGTAATGGCAATAATCATCTGTACATTAAACTCTGATTGACCATTATGTTATTATTTTAGTTTAAAATTTAACTTGAAAACATTTGTATATTAAACTCTGATTGACCATTATGTTATTTTAATTTAAAATTTAACTTGAAAACAAAGCAAAATGCAACTGGACTGTGTCAAAGGAAGCCAGAGTGAGGCGGTAGCCAAAGCAGTAAAAGCAGATTTTCGTCAGGAACCACTGCACGAGGGGCAGAGAGACCTCGGGGCAGAAAAGGGCTCAGTCCCCAAAGCGACATGGACACGTGGGCACCTGTGGCAAACAGGGCGGGGCGGGGGCAGCGGCCAGAAAGCTCTGAGAGGGAACAGCAGGGTGAGGAGGGTGCTGGCTGAACCCACGCGGCGCGACTCTGGCTGAAGGAGGCCAGGCGGGCAGACGTCGCCTGGGCTGGTGGAGAAGAGGAACAGGATCAGAGACTGAGGGTGACCGGACGGTGACTGGGAGTTCCTTCCAGAGTGACTCATCGGGACTCTGGCTACAGCTGGGCGATGCAGGCCTGACAAGGACAGGCGCCAAGGCCAAGGCCTAGAGGCTTGGAGGAGCCTGGCCAGAGGCAGGTCAAGGAGAGAGTCTCAGTCAGTGAAAGATGAAGACTCAGCCGCGGCCTCTCGCCCAGCGTCCAGCTGGGATGCCCAAAAGGCGAAGGCTGCCAAGCGCTGCTGTATATATTCTGCCCAACAGAATGTATGACGGTCGTGCAGAAGTATAAAACACAGTTTCTACATGGTTTTTTTTAATACAGAAAAACATCAGTTTAGATCGGTGCTTACTGGCACCTGTTTATAAAAATGTAAATAATTCTGTCAATATAAAATATCTTACTGTGCTTCTAAAAAGATGCCAGTCTCCAAAATTCATATTCATTTCTTTCTTCAGTTCATCAATGTTACACTGAGCTAGCACACGGCCGTTTATGTTTGCCTGAATAAAAATAAAAAGGAATAGAAAGACAAAAGAAATGTGACATATTTTGAATTACTGATGATTAAAAAGTACATTTATATATGTAGTATTGAGAAAGTCCTCAGAGAGTAGAAAATATTGACCTAAAAAAGGTCATCCCATTTAATAATATAATAAACATGCTGAATTTGAAAAACGTAAGCCACTCCGTAGTTTTCCAGTTGTCTTAAGCACTCAAGTGAAACAAGTCGCTCTTCAGGGACTCAACTTTCCAAAACTACCTGCCCTGCCACAAGCGCTAACAAAACTGTTGGTTTTTCTCCTCTAATTGTGTAAAATATGAGCACGAACACAAGCTGCGGGGAGGGGACAAAGACGTCTGTCAGTGTCGGTCGCTGATGACGTTCTAAATGACGTAAGCTCTGACAAACTTGCTTTTCAGTTACAGTGGATCACTTCAGCCATAAAGAATGTCCATCCGCTAACTCCTCAGTCTATGAAATTCACCCAAAATGGTCACATCACTATTAGGTCTCTGTAATTCTAATTTCCCCCAAAACCGCTGTCCTGAAGGCAACGACACAGGATTCCTGCCTCACTCTGTCCCGAAACTACCCTCGCTGCCTAGAGGAGTGGCGTCTGCACCGCGGACAGGCAGCGCTGGATGCTCCTAACCACATCTGTAAGGAAAGTGACATCATCCAAAACCTTTCTGACTAAAAGGAGGTTGAGATTAGTAAAACGGTATCTATAATGCTCATAATTCTTTTAAAACTGTTTTAGCTGCCATTCTTTAAAGAATGTAAACATTAGAAGCTCAGAATGACGGTCGGTGGCTGCACAGAGCCCGCTGCACAGAGCCCGCCTCCCGGCCGCACCGTGCCTGGAGCCCACGGGGGTGGGGGGCCGGGGGCTGGGGGCCGCACCTTCCGGACGGTTGCACAGTACTGCGGCAGCATGCTCTGGTCCAGCCCTTCGATCTGCGTCAGCCTCTCGCACACTGCATCCACATTCATCGAGTTCAGTGACACTGCCCCCGCAGCGGGACCCGGTCCCTGGATAAATCATGGAGACAGATGTGTATGAAGAGCATGCAGCGCCAGGTACACGCGGTCACGTGACAGAAACATGCGTGACGTTACACTGTGAAGTTCCCTAACAATAAAGTTTCAAACTAAAGTAAAATAAGTAATGTGTATAGCGTGGGGAAAGGTCCTGAGAGGTACGTTTTTAGCTACTGTTATACCGTAATGAGCAGCTTTTATTACAGCAGATACAGCCTGATCGAGACCACTTTTCTAAAACAGAACATTCCACAAACCAAGCATAGGGTTTAAATGTTTCCAGCCTAAACTCTAGAAAGAATGGCACATCCCTTAATAACAGAAGGAAAAGGGTTTTGAGAAAGGAAGAAAGGGGGGAAATTACGGATACCTATATATAAAAATACAAGAGGTAAATCTATGAAAAAATTGATAATTGCCTAAATAGCTTTAATGTTTCTACAGAATAACTTAATAGTCTGACAGCTAAAGTTTTCAGATCTTATCATATTTTATACCCAAGGATCTAAAACTTCCCCTTAAGAATCTGTACAATAATCATGTAAATATGAAAACACAGGATTACTTCTTAACATGTGAAAGTAAATACAATCCACTAAAATTTGATCTCATTTAAAAGTCGAAATAGCAAATAATTCTAGTATTTACTTAGAACATTTTCTGGTGGTGACATAAGTATTTGCCTATGGTCAATTACATAAGAATCTCCTCGAGTACAGGTGTGGACATTGACATCTAGAGGAGTTAAGCTTTGACTTCAAAGTCACAGAATAAAGAACTAGCTGGTGGTGGATTTGGGCCAGAACCCGAACACATCAGGTCTTACAACTTCATATTTTCCTTGCTCCAACTGTCTAGTTTTGAAGAGTTTATAGAAACTATAGCCACAATAAAGCGTGAAATCATATGGTTCCTGTCCTTTTCCATCTGATTTCTCTCACTTAGCATAATACTCTCAAGATCCATCCACAATGTCACAAATGGCAACGTGTTATGGCTGGAAGTATGCCGTGGCTTATATGTACCACATCTTCTTCTTTATCCAATCATCTGTCGAAGGACACTTAAGTAGTTCCTGTGTCTTGGCTATTGTGAATAATGCAGCAATGAACACAGAGGTCATATCTTTACGACTAAGTGTTTTCAAATTTTTCAGGTAGAAACCAGAAGAGGGATTGCTGGGTCATATGGTAGGTCTGTTCTTAATTTTTTGAGGACCCTCCATACTGTTTTCCATAGTGGCTGCACCAACTGACAGTCCCATCGGCTGTGTGCAAGGGTTCCCTTTTCCTCACATCCCCTCCAACGCCTGTTATTTCTTGCCTTATTGATAGCTGCCATTCAAACAGGTGTGAAGTGGTATCTCATTGTGGTTTTGATTTGCATTTCCCTTACATCTAGTGACATTCAGCATCTTTTCTTATATCTGTTGGCCCTGTGTATGCTTCCTTGGAAAAGCATCTATTCAGTTCCTCTGCCCATTTTTTAATTGGAGTGTTTTAATCGAAATTCTGTTGTTGCATTGTATGAGTTCATGTATTTTGGATGTTAGCCCCTCATAGGAGGCATCATTTGCAAATATCTTCTCCCATTCGGTTGGCTGCCCTTCTGTTTTGTTGATGTTTTTGTTTTGGGGTTTGGTTTTGGTTTTTGCTGTAGAGATGCTTTTTAGTGTGAAGTAGTCCCTTTCATTTATCTTTTACTTCCTTTGCCTTGGGGGGGGGTCAAGTTCACAAAAACTCCTCTGAGACTGTGGTCCATAAATTCAGTGCCTATATTTTCTATCTTTTGTTTCAGGTCTTATATTTATGTCTTTAACCCATCTGAGTTAATTTCTTTGTATGGTGTCGGGGAACAGTCTAGTTTCATTCTGCATGTGGGTGTCCAGTTTTCCCAACACCATTTATTGAAGAGACTTTCCTTTCTCCATCATATGTTTTTGGCTTCTTTGGTGAAAATATATGTGTAGGTTTATTTCTGGGCTCTCGATTCTGTAACATTCGTCTGTGTGTGTGTGTGTGTGTGTGTGTGTGTGAATTCTGTAACATTCATCTCTGTGTGTGTGTTTCCAACATCATATTGTTTTGATTACTGTAGCTTCGTAGTATATTTTGAAGTCAAGATTTGTCCTTTTTTCTCAGGATGTCTTTGGCTATTTACAGTCTTATGTGGTTCTATACAAACTTGAAGATTTGCTTTGTTCTATTTCTGTGAAAAAATGCCACTGAGATTTTGATGAGCATTGCATTAAATGTGTACATTGCTTTAGATAATGTGGCCATTTTAACATATTAATTTTTCCAGTCCATGAACATAGAATACCTACTTGTTTGCATCTTCTTCAATTTCTTTCAACAACGTCTGGTAGTCAGTGTACAGGTCCTTCACTTCCTTTAAGTTTCTCCTTAGGTATTTTATCCTATTTGTTGCGATTCTAAATGGGACAATTGTTTTCCTCATTTCTGATACTTCATTGTTAGAATATAGAAACACAATGGACTTTGTATATTGAATTTTGTATCCTGCAACTCTACTGTATTTGTTTATTGCTTCTAATAGTCTTTTGGTGGATCCTTTTTGGTTTTCTATATATAGAATCGTGTCATCTGCGGATAGTGAGTTTTACTTCTTCATTCCCAATTTGGATGCCTTTTCTTTCTTTTTCTTGCCTTATTACTCTGGCCAGCACTTCCAGAACTACACTGAGTAACAGTGGCGAGAGTGGGCATCCTTGTCTTCTTCCTGATCTTAGAGGAAAACTGTTAAGTTTTTCACCATTGAGTATGATATTAGCTGAGAGTTTGTCACATACGGCCTTTATTATGTTTAGGTACTTTCCTTCTATACCTATTTTGAGTGTTTTAATCATAAATGGATGTTGTATCTTGTCAACTTCTTTTTTTGCATCTAATTTTTCTCTTGTTAATGTGGTGTGTCGCACTGTGACCTGATTTGCATATGTGAGCCATCTTTGCATCCCTGGAATAAACTCCACTTGATCATGATGTATGACCCTGTAATACATTACTCTTGGCTGGTGGTTTCTCTTTCAATATTTTGAATATTTTATTCCACTATCTTTTGGCTTATAAGGTTTCTGCTGAAAAACCTGATGATAATCTAATAGGGCTTCCTTTGTAGGTTAGTCTTTTTTTCCCTGGATGCCTTGAGAACCTCTTGTCATAAAACTTTTGATAGTTTTAATATAATGTGTCTTGGAAAAGGTCTCGTGTTGAGATAATTAGGTGTTCTCTTGGCTTCTTGAATTTGAAGATCCAGCTTTTTCCTTTTGTTAGGGAAGTTTTCATCGATTATTTCTTTGAATAGGCTGTCCATTTCCTTCTTACTCTCTTCTTCTGGTAAACCCATCGACCTTATGTTGCTCTTCCTAATGAAGTCAGATAGTTCTCATAGAGTTTGTTCACCTTTGTTCACTTTTTTAACTCTTAGTGCTCTTTTTCCACCTATATCATTCCTAGATTTTTATATTCGAGCTCGCTAATTCTCTCCTCTTTCTGGTCTCCCCTATTTCCAATGCACTCTAATGCATTCGTGCATTCTTCATCTCATTTGTTGAGTTCTTCGGCTCCAGAATTTGTATCTTTTTTATAGTAATCTCTCTGATAAAGTACTCCTTTTGTTCATTGATCTTTATTCCTGAGCTTATTGAACTACCTGAGTTTTCCTGCATCTGAGTTTTTCATAACCGTGATCTTGAATTCTGTCATTTAAATCACAGTCTTCTACGTCTTTGAGTTTAGTTCTGGAGACTTTTCGATTTCTTTCTGAGCTACCTTGTTACCCTGGTTATTCATGGCACTTGATGGATTGTTTCTCTGCCTGTGCATTTCAGGTAGTACACTCTTTAGGTTTTGCTTTGAACGCTTTGGCAGGTTGATAAGTAGATGTCTTTTGTTTTCCAGTAGATGGTGCTATAATGCAGGGTTTTGTTTTTGTTTTTGTTTTTGTTTACCCAGAATCTCGTGGGGTGGTGTTGCCTACATGGTGAGAAACATCCCATGTGCTCCAAGGTGCTGCGTGTCCCCTCTATGTTCAGGCTGCCTCGGTCTCAAGGCACCACCCCCATGGTGGCATGTGGCAGCCAGTGGGGCTCCGAGCCGCAAGTTCTCAGCACTGCCTCCTTGCCCGAGGTGTTTCTGCTGCCTCGACCGGGTTCCACTGTGACAGACGGGCAAGGGGTGGGCGAGGGAAGGCAGGTTCTGAGTCTTCAGCTTTGCCTCGTTGCTAGCAATGGTGGACGCTAGTCTGCAGCCGCCACACGGCTGATCCGCGTCTCTGCGCATCACCACAAATTAGCCACCATGGGAGCTAGCTACTCAGGCAGGAAAGCTGCTTCTGCCCCTCCGCCTTGTGAGGGCTGCAGCCCAACTCCTCCCCCATGGCCATGGCAGCTGGGGCCACAGTGGACGCTGGATGCCAGACTGTGCCTGCAGCCACTGTCTCTGTCCTTCCCAGTGCTCGGTCCGAGACGCCCACCTTCAGATGAACTGATGCCTGGATCTCGCAGACTTGGCTGTGTGTCGCCTAGAGGATCCTTGGTTGGATTATAGTTGTCTGATTGGTGGTAACTTCAAGGAGATACAAAGGTGTCTTTTCGCTCCGCCATGATGCGACGTTACTTCCTTCCATGAATTTTTAATAACCATACTTGTCTTATCTTGATGTTATTTCCATGAATTTTTAATAACCATACTTGTCTTATCTTCTCTTTCTTTTTAAACAGCTTTTTGAGATATAATTCACATGCCATATGATCCCATTTAAAGTGTACAGTTCAATGATTTTTAGTTTGTTGACACAGTTGTGAAATCATCACCACAATCAATTTTAGGGTGTTTTCATATCCCTAAAAAGACACTCCTGTCCCAAGAGCAGTCCCTCTCCATCTCCTCCAAGTCCCACCCTCACCCCCAGCAACCACTAATCTACTTTCTGTTTCTATAAATTTGCCTATTCTGGACGTTTCATAT